TCTGTGAACAAGGCCTGAACCAACCAAAATCCGATTTCACTACCTCAAGGGTATATTTGCAGGGGTGCTGATCTTCTTGCTATGGTTCTTCGCGATGTTTGAGCCTTATGGTCTTCGGTTACGTCATGTAGTCATGGGACACTACCAGCCTGAAAGAGCGAAAGTTCGCGCTGACTGGCTTTACACCCATATTTTGAGGACTAGAGGTATGTAAGCTAAAAATGTTGTAGTATGACAAGGGCGTCTCTAGTGGCGACCCCCCACTAGGTGGATCGACGATCTGGTGAAGGTCGCGGGCGGTGCCTGGATGCGGGCGCAAGACCGGTTGTTGTGGAAATCCTTGGAGGAGGCCTTTGTCCAGTAGTGGACAAAGAAAGTGGACAGACGTCAATTGGCTGAAAGGAACTACGTAATATAAGACAATGCATTCTTGTAGCCAAACTGAAAAGACAGTGGGCGGGGCACATATTATATCTCGTAGAACTGATGGCCATTGAGACTGAAAAGTTCTAGATTGGTGACCATGAACCGAAAACGTTGTGTAAGGTAAACCGACAATCTGGTGAAGGTCATGAAAAGGTCCGGTCGTAGTAAAAATCCTTGGGAAGGTTTTTGTCCAGCACTGGACAGCTTCTGGTTGAAACGACGTTTGTCTACAGCTTTTGCTTGATAAGAAAAAAATGACGCATATTGTCTTGCTCTACCATAGCAAAAGTGGTACCTGCTCAAACTATTACATAAGCTACGATAATAAATACAAATTAATTGCAATCTGTATTTTGTAATTTTCATCAAGGTCCCCTTCAAACTTTTTTGTCCATCTTTGTTTGTCTCACCTTTGTACCTTTCTCAATAATTTGAACGTCTACTGTATGCAAATATAAAATAACTTGTCAATCGTTTTAAAATGATGATATTTTTTATTAGGAATAGGCACAATAATTTGACTGTAAACTCTCACCGAAGCTTCTTCACCCAGGATGAAAAATATGACTTTTACATTGAGGCAGTAAGGTATCAGGGAGGAGTGTACTGAAAGCTGTAATTTTTGTAATCTTCAAGTTCCTTTACATCATCATGACCATGCCAGTCAGAAATACGGGTATCTTTCAAAATCACGTTATTTCTTTTTGCATAGGAGGTTTTATGAAGTTCGCAAGAAGGAAACTCCATCGTACATACAAATATAGAACTCAAGGAAGCCTGACTTTTCGACGATGGCTGAATGACCTTATACCGTTAGTACTTATCATTTCTCTAGACTTTTTACTAAAGCATTTATCTGCTGACCTGATAATAGTAGAACCTGATTTAACCACGTGAAGTCGTGAACTCGTGAAACGTGAGTCATGTCTTTGCATGGCTTCATTATACAAACAGGGAAATCACATCTATTTTGATAATCAAGTAGGATACTTATGACGGTTGTCCGTATAGCAGTAGTCAGAATATGAAAATTAGACTCAATGATTCTCCCTTTCTAGATCTGCTTGTTTGCGAGCCCTTCTTGGGACAAGCCCAGAGGAAAGACACTGTCTTCTATGTGGAACGACACAATACGCTGCCAGGGAGGACACTGAGCTTATCAGGTTTGCGTTGAGCATCATTCAATACCTACACGATCGACGATTCGTGATGAAGAAATTCTTTAAATGACAAATGAGGAAATTACATTTGATGAAAAATAAAGTGGAAGAGACTAAATGACTTTTGGTAATGTTGATTATGATGATGATGAAAGAAAGCGTCATTTTGCAGATGTAGAACATCAGACTGTCCCGGAGTGTATTGCACCAGTTGCTTTGCGGACATCGGCGAACTGTGTACGATTTGCTTATCACCAAAGGATTACGGAGATTTTAGCGACGTGAGCCTGGAAAAGTAAGTTTTGCACACCCTAAATGTATGTAGGTATAGTTTATAGCAAGGGGGTAAATAGGTACAAATAAATAAAATGAGATTCAAAGTCAGGTTCTGTATTAGCCTTTCACTGCGCCTACTTTTGTCATATCCCAATACTCCCAATGACAATTCCAGTCTTAAAGCTTTGTGCTGTGTTAAATATTTCATTGTTTTTTTAGAGGTTCTGATGGAAGCGAAGATGACGATGAAGCTTCACACGACTTTCTAAGCCAATCAAATCGCTCTGTAAGTAGTAGCGAATTTGAAACGTTTTTCATCTGCTACTTTTTAGCTACAATAGAACCAACTAAACAATATTTTCTTAACAGTGTTTTAGTGTAAGCGAAAGAAAGAAAAGTAACGTCTCTTTTTCAAGTAAAGTAGTAAAATATACGCGCAGTATATTTTCAAAGACTGATAAAAATATTAATAAAGATAGTATGGAACTAGATCTTCCATCAGTATCACATAATGGAATGCAAAATGATCCAAAAGATCACAATAAGGCCATCATCAAGAAAGCCTTGCTAGTTAGACATATGAAAAATGTAATGAATGATAGACGACCCATACACGAAAGACAATATTTAGTAAATTGCGAATACTGTAATAGCGAATATTGTCCTAATCATTATGATTGTATACGAAAAATTCAAGATCAAAAACAAAAGGTTGTTATTAAACGTCCACAGCAAGGTGAAATAACAAAAGATGTTGATTCACATAATCTTATTGCAAAAGATACTAAAATTAAAGGGAAAAGTTTTCACTCTCACAGAGCTAAAAAATCAAGTAATTTAGCAAAAAGTGTCCTCAATGTAATAGCCAAATCTAGCACTTATAGTATCAGTCTAAAGGGCACCAATGTAAACGTAGAAAAGATATTACAATCTAATAATAATAACAAAAAGAGTTCACGAAAGAATAAATCAAATGCCAAAGAACCACCTGCAAATGACAAAAAGAATGCCAAAAAAGATAAAAACAATAAAAAGAAATCGAAAAAGAAAAATAATGATAACGCAAAGAAGGATACCAAAGAAAACGTATCTATAAAACCACCTGAAATCTCCTGCCGTGGTTTAAGAAAATTTCGCAATTTATTTACTGGGTTTCACAAAGCTTCGAAAGCTAATAAAAGTTTGAATTGTCTGGGGAACGGTGATGCCCAAAATGCTGCTCCTTCAGCGGATATAAAAAACTACAAACGTAGAAAGAAGAAAAAACTGAAACACACCAAATCTGAGGACGTTTATCTTAAAAGCGACGGAAATGACAGTGAAGATACAAGAAAGTACAGAATTTCTGCGTATTTGGCTGAGCAAGATTGGATCAAACGTCAGTGCAAACAGGATGGTGATAAAATTAATACGAAACCAGAAATCAGTGAGGCGGTTGCAGTAATTAACAGTACTTCAAAGAATAAATCGGTAAAGTGTCTGATAAACAATATGATCTTATTTTTAATAAACTGTTTCCTAATTCTACATGTTTTCAGGATAAAAAGTTATTCCATAAAGAGATAAATCTAAATATTGAGCCAGTTGTCAATAAACAACTACGAGGAACCTTCCAAAGTGATGATATAATTGAAACATCTCGAAATAGTAAGTTTATTTTTACGAAAAAGAATACTTACAGAGGTGGGGTATAGCTTTTTAACTCTATCTATTTAAGAGAGAAGATCAAAAAGATGATGTTTCCAGGTAAGCACCTCAAGAATGGAATGACGTTCAGTGATTTGTGGAAAACGATTGGATTCAGATTACTGAGTGATTCCTCATCATCCTCATTTATGGAAAAAATATTTAGAACAACCAATGAAATTTTCACAAAGGACAGCGGTAAATACACAGATTTTACGAACACTTGGGTTGGGTATCTAGAAAATGTCTTCTCTCTCTTTGAAAGGCATTATATTTTTGTCTAATATTCGCAGAAAAAAACAGTTCAACAGATATAACACGACGACTAAAATTCTATGAATCCATTGGCAACGACGATTTTCAAAAGCTTGAAGAGTAAGTTTTATCTTTTCGTATTCATCTCGTACCTAATCTTTTTCTTTCAATAGATTGTGCATCTTATTTTCAGTTTTAAAGATGACAATATCTTTTGGGGAATGGATTCCGACCAAGTAAGTTTTATCAAATGACTGCTTAAAATCTAACGTTTTAAAATTTTGCCTATTTACATTACGGTTTGTTATTCTTTGGAATATACTTGTTTTGTCAATCTTTTTTATAGCAAACACAAAGTAAAACTGTAATTAAAGCGAAGAAGCACACAAGCAATGACGGTCAAATCCGCAGTAAGTTTGACTATCAACGCAATATTATTTTCATTTTCACTAATGATTATAAAATTGTGTGAAAAATTACAGCTGAATCACCGTGCAGCACTTGTACTGAAGATTTTTTATTATGTTTTGACAAACTATTCGAGGACAGCCATCAAAGTGTCTGTAAAAAGAAATTCATGGAGATAACAAGGTATGAATTTGCATAAAACTTTAAAATTTTGATGTCTAAAGCCCGGTCTGTGAGCACTTAGAATTTTGTCCAATGACCCCAAGCTACCATCCTTATCGCTCGCGCGTAATTATATTGCTGTCGCGACTGTGCGACGGGAGCCCGCAGTGAGTGTGCGAGCGCGACAGCAACATAATGTCGCGCGAGCGATAAGGATGGGTAGCTTGGGGTCATTGGACAAAATTCTACGTGCTCACAGACCAGACTATACAAAATTTAAAGTTTCACAATCTTTGCAGATTGATTAAAGAATGGTTTTTCAACGTTTACAGAGTTGTATCGGATGGTATACGTTCTAGGTAAGTTCCATATCGTAAAGGAGTCTCCCAAGGAGCTACTTTGGGACCTATTTTTCTTAATGTGTTTAATAATAAAATGCAATGGATTTTAAAAATTAGTTATACTAAACTTCTTTTCAGATATGAAAGCTCAGTAACGTTCATCAGAAGCTTTTGTTCCAATAAAAAAGATATAGATAAAAGGGATGCGATCACACAAAGTTTTAGAAAACAAGGTGAGTAGGTACAACTTATCCCGACAACGTTTCAACCACCTGTAGCCACTCATACCATTTTACGAAGAATCCCAAAAGTAATAAATAGACTTTATTCCTGGAGATATCATTAAAGGTGTACCCCAGGGTACTATTTTAGAACCTCTTTTCTTTTCAATCATTGAGAAGAACTTTCCGCTTTCAAAATTCCCAATCAAAAATATATTATTATCTTTAGCAAAAAAAAAATGACGGCAACTTGAAGTAAAATAAAATGGATCTTATGTTTTATTGTAAGTACCTGCCTACAATTCTTCATTTCTTATGTGTTTCAGAGGACAAAAATATCAACACTGCAGACCGTAAGTACCGCCATTCCTAAATACTGTTTTGTCCTGTTTTGAAATTATTATAACTTAATAAAACGTTTTTATTTCTAGCTAAAAAGGCCGGATTGGATGATTCTGGTGAGTAAAATCAAAGGCCATCCATTAATCTTAAAAGTTTCAAAGTAAACAACTTAAACATTTTGTTTTTACATACACACTGTTTTTATAACATACTGTTTTTAGACTCCTGTGATTGCTTAGCACCAAAAGTCATGTCCCACGGAGGTCCAACGGTGGTCTTAGTGGCCTCTAAGACTTTTGAGAAGGATAAGGACTCAGCAGCCAAAAAGAAAGTTTCTATAGAGAACGCCAAAACAAATACTGATAAAGGTTCTATGGCAACTGAAAAATACCCGAAACCTGAAACGAAAACTGGATCATACGAAAGACGCAAAAATCACGAGTTAAAGGGTAATTAGAATTACTATACCTAACCTCAATTAAAATAGGAAATTGTAACAAACTCAACAATATTAATAAAACACTTCGTTCAATAAGAAATGTTTTTTTTAGTGAAGAACTGAGTTAGATATTATAATTTAGTACGAGTATGTCGAAAAATTATGCCTTTAATATAATATTAGTAGTAAAAACGTTATGCGAATGGAGGGTATCCCACCTAGACTACCTAGTAACCTTTACAACTTAAATCAAAGTTAAATGTTTTTAATTGACAGACAAAGATTCCTGTCCTTGCATAGAGCTGAAAAAAGTGGCTCCACCTGTAGCAATTCAACAAACCAATCCAATAAACGAAACTGCTCAAAGGGAAACTCAAAGGGAAAAATCCTCTGTGAAAAAGTCTACTACTGTCAGTAAGTAAAAAAATATGTTAAACCTTGCGTCTGTTATAATTAGATCACACTTTACGTAGCAGAGAATCCTGAAATTTTGTAATCTAATACTAGAAATACAAGACCTGCTAAATATTATCTTCTTTACTTTATTGCAGTTATGAGAGATAGAAAAACAGGATCTAACACAAGTGTGGTAAAGAAATCCGGTAAGATTGTCTTCTTATTGTTTTAGATTGTGTGTGATTTTTACTATGTATTTTATTCTTACGATTTTCAGCTCATGCAGAAGTACAAACTGAGAGAAAAGCAGGTAAGTACATTTCCAATCTTATAAAACTGTTCAATATATCGGATTTTTCAACTAGTGTTAACTTTACAGTCAAAGAAAATTTCGCAGATGACCAGGAAGGAAGCATACTGAAGTTAAAGGGTAAGGATACTGACTGATATGCTATTGATGCTACTTATACAAATATTCTTAAAAATATCTCATTTTATAAAAATACTCTTTCCAGAAGACAACCATTATGTTATTGCCGATAAAGTTAACAAGAAAACCTCCGGTAATAAATTATTTACTCATGTAGGTCATAATAATTAATCTACGTCATTAATAACAAAATATGCACCTCATTCTTTTGTTTCAGCTTCAGATGAGATAAAAGCCATTGTTAAAAAAAGCATCGAAAAGCTAAGATCAGGTAATGCTATGACTCTACCTCGATTGATTCATAAAATATAACAAAATAATCTAACCAATGTAGAAACAGTTAAAAACGCTTCAGTAACAAAGTAACCCATGTTTTATTACAGCAAATAAGGATATAAAAAATGTACTGAGCAAAAGTTTAACGAAATTAACAGGTAACCATATCGCCTAAACTATTGAAGTAATTTTAACGTTAAGAAGCAAACCAAGTAGGTACCTACTTAGCGACTTATGATTCTTACAATTTTCAGCCACTGAAGGTCTAAAGTCTAAAAGTGCAAAGAAAGTGAATCAAGAAACTAATACGGAATCAAGTAAAAGAACTTTGAAGAAATCTGGTGAGATTTGAAAATTTGCGAATATTCTTAGAACATGAGTAACTTGTAATCAAAGAAAGAAAGAGAGAAACATTTATTACTCATAATATTAATTTTAATCTTATAATGTATTGCAGTCAATGAAGAAGTGATGACCAGCCAAAGAAAATCTAAGACAAAAGTAACAGGTAGCCTAATAAGTAGTTTATGATTGAGGCTTCTTCTTGATCCTATGCCGTATGAAATTGCAGCCTAATTTGATATTCTAAAATTTACAGATAAAATATTGGAAAAAGATCCAATGGTCGCCGAAGGAACCCAATACATTTGGTTAGTAGAAATAGTCCAAGTATTAACTATAAATTATTTTGTTCCTCGCTTTCTTCCTACTGCTTAGTTGGACTCGCTTGTAAAAAGTAATCTCTAATCTAACATTCTTTTCAGTGGTTGCAAATCTGCTTTGGAATTCCTGAAGCGTATGCAAAACCAAGGCATGCAGACGCAACCTTCTAAAAAAGACATCAAATCAAATGCGTCAAAATTCAAAGAAATTCAACGAACACCAACCAAAATTATCAAATCAAATGAACCAGATTCATCAGACACCACTGATTCGAATGAAAAATTTGTTCCCAAGATAATAACACCGACGAAACGATCTAAAACTTCAGCGACGAGTGTTAAGTCTAATAAAGCAATGATGGCGAAACCAGATGTAGTACGAACTACTTCAGCTAAATCTGTTCAATCTAGAGTAATATCACCTAGTAAAAAGCCAAGTGGTATCAAACGGTCAGTCAACAATATTGAGTCAGAAGACTGTCCATGCAGATGTGTTTGCAGTAAGTATCTTGAGCAAAGGTTTGTCACATGCTAATTTCTGCCATATAGGGCAATCATTTTGGGAATAAGACTGATAAAAATCAGCCTGAAAGTTATCCGAGAATAGAAAAATCACATTCCTTAATGTTTCTCCGTTTGATGAATAGGTAAATTCAACCAGATTTTCCCAAAAATAATACTGGCCGATCGTAAATTCATTTATGTGCTCTTTTTGATAGTTTGGTAGTAGGTTGTCTCGATTGAAGCCACCTGGATTGCTTAAATCGGGCCGATTAACGTGCCCTGCACGAAATCTATATTTTTTCGGACAATCTGGTTGATTCAAGCCTTTTGATTGAAGTCTAAGCAAAATTTGGTTTTCTACGTGTGTTCCTTCTGGACATCGAACTGCTGAAAAACGGAAGAGTTATTGTTTCAGGTGAAGCCCGAGAAATATCTGCAGCGAAAGAAACCTGCACATGCGCTACACAATACGTGTACTACACAGACGACAGTAAGTTCAAGCTGCCTTTTGGATATCAAGACGTGGTGGTATCTCACATTTTTCTCATTTTTAGGCTCCAGCCAAATGAAGTTGTTGAAAGAATTCATCACCGCACGTGATGGTAACTTTTCAATTCGTTAATTTTATATTTTTGGAGCGCCTTTAGTTACAAGAAAAGAAAGTAACTTACTTGAAGAAGTCTGATGATTTCAATATTCAAATGTTTTATTACAGTTTATATAGGTTTTCTTTTAAATTAAAGATATTATTCTGTTGTCTGCCTCTTTTAATTCGCTCCTGAAAGGTTAAAAATTTCCACGTATTTCATCACCGGCTTTAATTTATCAAAATCAGTTTCGTCTCTTTAAAATTACTTCATATTCATCTCCAAAAATACACATATTATAATGACACGTATTTTCTCGTATGTCTTTAATATACTCGAATTTACCCCTTTTTTCCTTTTAGAGAATCTCCAAAGAGAAATCTTCGAGTACACATCAAGCAGTTGTTCTGGCAGCGACACAATCCTCAGTTCGTCCATCAGAAGCGACCCCACCGTCACTGACTGCACTATATGCAGCCTGGCCTACATCGATGGAAAGCCTAAAAAGAGGAAGAAAAGGACCAAAGTCAGCGTGGTCACCAAAGCTAACCAGTGTACTGGAACTGATAGGTACCTATAGTGTCCATGTACGATGTAGCAAGTCAGACTACATTTTTTTAGTTGCATAATAACATCTATTGTACCTACTCTACAATAATATCTCCAAGTTTTTAGCTTGTCATGCCGTCATCGAGGCCAAGATTTTAAATATCTAGTTAATATTTTACAAAAATACGGTTGAGGTCTGTCCACCAAGTGTGAGGTCTGCCCACATAGCATTTTTTGGTCCGTGGTCGCCACTCCATAACTTTTCTGCCCCAACGGCTATTAGTTCTTAAGCTGTGTCCTGCCACTTAAGTTTGGCAATTCTGCAGGCTGAGTTGGTTACAAATCTCTCATTTCTAATTCGATCACGTACCGAAACTCAAGCTCTATGGCATGGAAATTCAATCGTTATCAATTTCTCCCACAGGCCTAGACTCTGTGACGTCAGTACAACCACAAAGGACTGGTGGAGTCCAATTGTAGAGAAGAAGACGACAACAAAAGAAATCACCTTTGACAAAAACTTGAAAGACCCGAGCGTAGAGAGAAAAGAAAGGAAATTCTCGATCGGAGATCAAGCGATGGAGATGAAGAAGAGCAAAGCTGTCAAGACTGAAGGCAGGATTGTGACTTTTAGGAGTCACGCGCAGATTATTCCCACGGGTAATATCTCTTATTATACCCCGTCGGATAATGGTGGTGTATTAAATAAAACACTGGTATGAGCTAACTATATGAGCTAGCAGCAAGCACTCACGTCCGTACCATGCGGCGGCTCGACTACGACTGACCCCCACCGCGCCGTATTAGTACTTAGTCACGTGTTGCCGTCTCGTTGTGTCACTCTTTATTTATGGTACATCACAGATAATTAACTAGAGATTACCCTTTTGTATGAAGTTACCCTCTAGGTTACGGGAACCTATCGCTTATTTTTTCTAGTTTTTTTTTAATAATTCTCATTCTGGTTTCGTTTTCAGGCGCTGAAGACATTATGTCTCCATCGAGATATCTTTTGGAGGTAACTTAATGCCAATTCACGAATATCACAAATCACAATTCTTTAATATTTCAGAATGCATAACAATGTCTTTATTTTCAGTCCCAGTGGTATTACAATGAACTGTTCTCTTCGAAATTCTATGCTCCACATTTATTCCCTGTCAGTCTCGTTCAGGTATGTATAAAGTCCCGATTTTGTAATAGGTGTGTTCATTAGAAGCTCTTCATTAAATTTTATCATTAACCTAATCAAACTAATTACCTATCTCTATACAGAAGCCAGCAAATGGATCTAAGACGCGTTCTCCGACCAGGATCCACCATCAGAGTCGAAGAAGTGAGTTAATCTTCCTCATTATCGTTATACATGTTACGGTTAATGTGATAAATTGAAAATTATTAATAATAACCGGTTATTATGAATAATTACCGACAGTCGCGGTAAAAGTGATAAATTAATCACATTTAACAGTGATTATTTAATAATGTCATGCCCTGAGTGCCCAATCAACTGCACTCAGGAGGATTTGATGAGTGCTACTGACAACGCCACTCTTGTGGCGGAGTTTTGGGCTGACACTGTGTAGGTTTGTTGTCGACACGAAAAGAAGATTTAATAATTCAACCTTAGTACTAACAAATTTCTTAAAAGAGAACAACATCTTGTGTACGTGCTCGTGTACAGCCAAACTTTTGAACGTTTTGATATCATCTATATTAATATAATTTGGCATAATGAGTTTGGGATGTTTCTTGCATAATATTACTTTTCCATGATGCCTATAACATAATGTTTTGATTTAAAGTGAAAAATAGGTTAAGGTGCGGCGGGGGGGGGCCCTTGGGCCACCCCTAAGCCGCCTATTTAGTTTTATACACACATAAATGACCTCATATTAATCACATTAACCAAATCATGCGGTAATTATTCATAATAACCGGCGATTATTCATAATTTTCACATTTATCACTTTGACCGTAACATACACACTAAGTACTCTGTTTTGGACACTGTACGATACTAGCCTTTTCAAAGTCAAAGTCAAAGCTTTTATTTAGCACTTAGGCCCTTTCCAGGGCGCTTAGGTATATACGTCCCAAATATTATAGCATGCTCTACCAGCTTTTTTCATCATGGAATGATTTTCAGCTAGCATTTAGTAGGTATCTTAATTTTCAGTTTCGCTTATTGAAGAATCCTAAATGAATTGTAAATAGCATTGACTTATTTTTTTATTTCAGATCGCAAGGCTAAGAGACTAGATCAGTGTTACTCACCACGAAAACAGGTGATTTAAACAAGTTAATTCATCATCATCATCATCACCATTTCAGCCATAGGACGTCCACTGCTGGACATAAGCCTCCCCCAATGCTTTCCATGTTGATCGATTGGTAGCGGCCTGCGTCCAGCGCTTCCCCGCTACCTTTACGATGTCGTCGGTCCACCTTGTAGGTGGACGTCCCAAGCTGCGTTTTTTGGTACGCGGCCTCCATTTCAGAACCTTGCTGCCCCATCGGCCGTCAGTTCTGCGTACTATGTGCCCTGCCCATTGCTTCAGCTTGCTAATCCGTCGGGCTATGTCAGCGACTTTAGTTCGTTTACGGATCTCCTCATTTCTGATTCAATCTCGCAAAGAAACAAGTTAATTAATAACGTATTATTCCTAGTACTTATTCAGAAGGCAGTCTAAGGCCAAATCCATGCTAGAAACTAGAATCTGTTGTCCTCTAGGTAAATAATTCAGATTCAGACAAATAACTGAAAAAATAACATTCCAGATAAGTCCCAGAAAACAAACTGGCTATGAATGGATACAATCCAACGAGGCCAAAGACAGATATCAAAGGAAGAAATTGCTCAGGTATAACTGTTTTAAGAAACTGTTAATATTGTGTCATGGGATACCTTTAATTAAATATAACTACCTACTTAACTATCTACTCAAAATGAAGTTTATTGAGTACTGTTGAGGTCAGATAGGGTAAACCGACAGTCATTGGACAAAACAACCCTTGAATTTTCTTAAAATGAATATTCCTTCAAATACAATGAATATTCCTTCAAAAAAACGCCCTTTTATCTCCATCAGTCGGAATCTCTCAGTTGTTGAAATAGAAATGCTATTTTTAATTCAGTAAATAATAACTGTCCAAAATCTGAGTGTAGATAAGTACCTGAAGAAGTAAAGAGTGTAAAGACCGTCAAACTCGATTTTATAAAATGCTCTACGATCAACTTCCAATCCAAGCAGTAACACACAAACTTTTTTCACAGGACTGTTACAAGGCCTAACAACACGAAGAAACTGAAACCATCCTTGAAATACGAGAAAATGGGTGTAGGCGGGGTAAGTTGTATGATTTTTATCATGTGATGTACTTATTTACAGGTAGGTACCTAACATTTGCGTGCTCTAAATTAGATCTTACTTACAGTATTATACCTACCTATCCATCTGTTCTTGAACTTCTTGAGTATTGATTCCTCTATTCTTGAGCATCGTTTCATGAAGTGTTGTTATGATCACCTCTAATATTTTCTTTTTCTTTTTTATTTTTATAGCCGATATTTGCATAAAGCTCATTTTTATCCAAAAATCAAGGTTGTCGGTTTTTTTTATTAATATTTCTTACTAAATAGGAATAATTTAAAATTTTACAGGGAGATGACAAATTCCAGTCCGTGTCCAACGAAAGTAAGTACCTAGGCAGTAGGCATTTTATGTATAGCTACTTAAATCTTAATTTGTACTGTAACAATAATTTTGTACCTAATATTTAAAATATTTAATTTTCAGGTGTCAGTTTGGACGTTCGTTGCAATTCCACGAGCAGTTTTAAATAATTACCTAACTAAGAAACAGTGTTGTTACTTCTTTTTCGTTTTGTTTGTGCGGGTTTTTTTTTTGTTTTGGTTCTTGTTTAAGTTTTTATTGAAATAAAGTGTTTTCTTTAGTTATTTGATGTTTATTAGTAAATATTTCGGGAAATAGCTCATCTAAAACTTCTTTTAGGTAAAAATAACTAAATTATACGTCAAAAGTTAAGTATCAAAGTCGACTTATTTTAGTCATATACTATTTTGATTACGCATAATATTCATGTTCTTTTTTTAACTTGGCTTTTATTACAGTGTTTAATGTACAAACGAAAAAATAGGACTTATTTTCCAACAAAAATTCCCTTTATTACCGTTGTGACAGATATGGACTCTACCTACATAATATTTTGTAACACTCAAAAATGACGTGGCATGATATAATACAGATACAATCACACTTACGATGATGTTATCGATATCGCAGAGTATTGATAAAGAGGTACAGTCGAATACAAAAGCAAAACGAATCATCTCAACCTTTTTCATGAAAACACACCCATGGATAACACACACAAGTAAGGCTGGGTTGCACCATCATACTTTAACTTTGACAAACGTCAAAAATCTGCCTAATTCATACAAAAAGCATCGGTTACGTCATAGTTACCGTTAAAGTTAGGTGGTGCAACTCAGCCTAAGTATAAGTAGGTACACTAGATTGGTAATCTGAATGACTACAAAATTCTTCTTTCTCAATGAGGGTTTTCGCGATTGAAAAATCCGCCAGATGGCAATACTTAGATGCGAGGTCCAAATGCTGCATGATTGGTGGATTTTGACATATCTGTCAATGTCATGTCAAAAATAACCAATCATGCAGCATTTGGACCTCACGTCTACGTATTGCCATCTGGCGGATTTTTCAATCGCGAAAACCCTCATTAGACACGAGCCAGAAGACGTAGTATGGATGGGCAGGCCTCCCTCCCACTAGGTGGACCGCCGATCTGGTGAAGGTCGCGAGAGGTATCTGGATGCGGGCGGCGCAGGACCGGTCTTTGTGGAAATCTTTAGGGAGGCCTTTGTCCAGCAATGGGCGCCTTTCGGCTGAAACGAACGAACTATACGAGTAGACTTCATTCATTCATGGTCTTCATATCCACTTCCTAATAATGTAGAGTGGATTTATTTAAAACAACTGATTAGGAAAAAATACTGGAAGTAACTAAAGGAAATTAAATAATATCTTGAAACATTAAGGCTCAGTTGTACCACCTAACTTTAACGGTAACTATGACGATAATCGGTGCATTTTGTATGGAGTTTGACAGATTTTTGACGTTTGTTACAGTCGAAGTAAGATGGTGCAACCACCCAGCCTAAGTTGAAAAAACAAATGAACATATGATGAACATCCTGAAAATAGGTAAATTGAAATTCGTAATGTCTCTAAATTGTGTTGATTATTTTCACGATGTTCAATTGTTTTTCTGATTAGGACGTGATTTTACATAATTTTAACCAAGTTCGAAAAGTTTTTTTTCTATGTTCTAACACGTTTTATGATGGCTTTCGACACTTTTGAGCAGTATAAACAATATTGCTTAGATATTACATTCTTATCTGAAGTAGGGACATCACTGGTACAATTTATTACATAAACAATTAGTAAATAACTAATTAATAATTAGCAATATGTGTCAAGGGCTACTTTATTGTCAAGAATATCTTTAGATAAAATCTAATTAAATGATTGATGTCGCTGGACCTAGCCCCCTTGGGACTTTCTTAATCTTTTTTCAATTCTATCAATTCAGGGACTAAAATACAACGAAATTACTAAACGTAATAAAATAAATGTACCTACACTAAAGTTTTTAGTCAACATGTTCTTCATATTAAACTAATGCTAAGATTACTTATTATGTGATTTTGTTAAGTACCTACCCATGGTAAGTACATGGTATTTGACTAATGGTACTACCTACTTACTTGAAAGAAAATAGGCAAGTAAAAGTGCTTAACTACCTTTGTAGTACCTAAGTAATCTTCAGTTAGCCTACTTATGAATATTTATAAACTGGGTAGGTAACTATGATGTAACATATTGTATTTTTGCAATAAGTGTCAAATTTTGGTGGAAATTGAATAGAGACATTTTATTTAATTTCAGTAGGCACCTGTAAATTATGTAAATCTTCATTATGTGTGCATGACTGTACTTGATATTGGGATATTCGCGTCTCGGTGTCGTATTGTCCGTGTGAATAATATTGTTATGGCTTCAAATGCTGTCACCGAACTGTACCTGGGTGATTCGCAACTGTTTTTCTATTTTAAAAACCAAAAAAGGAAGAAGTTCTATGTTCAACTGTTTGTATTTTTTCTGTCATTTGAGCGTTAATTGAGAAAACCTCTCTCTGGGTGGTCTGGAAAAAATCGCTGCCTTGTGATAAGACCGCCTTTTAATTTCAATGTTGCATTTCTTTAGTCTTTATGTATGTAAGTAAAGTGCAGTAAAGAGTCTCTATAAATCTATGTATTTTGTACAATTGTAAACGACATTTCATGGGCAGCATGTCGTAACTATTCTGCAATCAACCAGTATAAAAACTATTTTGTTGAAATGGCAGTTAATTATTACGAGGTATCATAATTATTATTTTATGGTATCCTTATGACTCTATTGCTCTATTAACTACTTAATTATTATAAAATCTTTAAATATTTAATAGGTCTAATGGATTGTCATGATGACCTAATTGTGTTTGACATCATGAGTACAAACTACAAAGTCGAGTCCAAAGTATCATAGAGAAACAATAGAAAACCTTAAGAATGCATAACTACAATTTATTTCTGCAAGTCATTCCATTAAACCCATAGAAAAACATTGACAAATATTTATAAAGCAAATTATGAACTGTCTATCACTTTTAATATTTTTTGTTCACTGCAGAATAACCCTGTTTTAAATTGTACGTAAGTTTACAAGACAACTAGTAGCAGAGTCGTTGTCTTGGGATCACGATGGCTCGACTCCTTGTGATTGGGTGAGTTTATTTTGTAAAGTTATAAGTTAATTAATTACTAAAATATAGTTAGTTACATAGTTTGTCAAGAAGTAACGTAACCCTATGTTTACGAAATAGGCGCGAAATGATAATAATTTAAAGCCTATGTTTTTAAGTGGTTGCCAGTTCAGACAGATCCTATCTTTCTTGATGTGAGATAAAAGTTATTTAGGTAGTTTATTTTTATTTTATTTATTATTCAGTTACCAATAAAACAGTGTATTACGGGAAGATTAGTCGTATCTTGTTTTTTTAAAGTTTAAATGAATTTCATCCTGTAATAAATATTTTTAGTATCTACTTAGTTGATTATCTACGCTAATTAATTTTAAGAAAGCTGTAAATAGATCCTGGCAACCAACAAAGGAATTGCAGCAGTAAGAACGAGAGGTGAATAGTTCAGTTAATTAATTAATATCTTAAATTTGTATTCTCAGTTTTCTCTTATGCCTGGGTGCTGGGGTATGGAGCAAGCGAAAGGTCCGCAGTTTCCCCGAGGGGTTTCAGTTTGGAGCCTCCACTGCTGCTTACCAGATTGAGGGAGGATGGTACGAAGATGGTATGTCTTGAAGGGCTATTTAATTTAATGAAATCCCTGGTGGTTTTTAAAAGCTATCTAATGTAATAAATGTATAATAAGTAATTGTATTTCATGTAATAAGTAAATCTATACTTATAATAAATCTGTAGAAAGGTCAATTCTGTACATGAAATATATTTTCAAAATAACTATCAGGGGGTGATTAGTGATCGATACTGATGCCAAAAATGCAATCAGTAAAATTTTTGTCTGTCTGTCTGTCTGTCTGTCTGTCTGTCTGTCTGTCTGTCTGTATGTTCCTTATAGAAACAAAAACTATTCGACGGATTTTAACGAAACTTGGTACAATTATTCTTCATACTCCTGGGCAGGTTATAGGATACTTAGGAATTCCCACGGGAACGGGCATTAGCGGGAAAATCCTTTTGTATGAAAAATCTAAACCGCTTAAGTTAGACGCTTGAAATTTGGCAAGCAGGTACCTTAGTAAACTTAAAGCTTAGTCATAACAGGATATTGCAAAATTCCTACGGGAACGGGAATTAGCGAGAAAAAACATTTGTATGAAAAAATCTAAACCGCGTAAGTAGATGAAGGGGGTAAAACGGGATCCACGCGTACGAAGTCGCGGGCGGCCGCTAGTAAATAATAAATAAATAAAATCAAAAAGTAATTAGCAGGCGCGACTGCACATGGAAATCTGATTTTTCCCGAATACTTATTTATGTTTGTACGTTTTTTTAAATGCTATTCAGAACCCAACCACCACTGCTTTTACGGTATTTTTTTCTAAATTCCCTTAATTGAGAACATAACATAGAACGTTAACATGCCGAGAAAACAACAGTAACGCAAAATCAACTCTAATCATTTATTTTTTTACAATTTTACATTCTACTCTACCAAAGCGCCTTCAGAATTATCTACAGAATCTAAGAAAATGCTTTTTTTACAACAGGGAAAGGACTTTCAATATGGGACATCGCAACGCACACCGTTCCGTCTCCAATAAAAGACCAATCCACCGGCGACGTCGCTGCCGACTCCTACCATCTCTACCAGCGCGACGTTGAAATGATGAACGAACTCGGCTTAGATTTCTATCGATTCTCCATCTCCTGGCCTAGGGTCCTGCCCAACGGCTTCTCCGACCGGGTCAACCAGGCTGGAGTCGACTATTACAACAATCTCATCAATGAACTGCTCAAGAACAACATCACCCCATTTGTGACGATGTACCATTGGGATCTTCCCCAAAATCTGCAAAGATTGGGCGGCTGGACCAATCCTCTCGTAATCGACTGGTTTGTGGACTACGCCAGGGTTTTATTCGACAAATTCGGAGACAGAGTCCGTAGCTGGATCACTATAAACGAGCCAAAGCAAATCTGCTTCGAAGGGTATGGGAGTGACTCCAAAGCACCTTTTTTGAATATGACAGGAATAGCAGAGTACTTGTGTGCCAAGAACGTTTTGCTTGCCCACGCCAAGGTGTACAGGCTCTATGATGAAGAGTACAGGAAGCTTCAGAATGGAACTATTGGTATTTCGATCAGTTGTACCTGGTACGAGCCAGCTTCGGATACGCTGGATGATCATCAGGCGGCGCTGGATGCTAGGCAGTTTGATGTAAGTAGGCCTACTTACTACATATTATCATTTTCAATCAGTAACGCGATATCATAAACAGTCATTCCGTCTTGCGTTGAATCAATGCAAAATATTGTCTTATTTGGAAGACATACAGTGAAATAATAACAGACAAATAACAAATGCATGAATCTACTTTTTTAAATACACCATTTAGGTAGGTACCTACATGTTTTTGCATAACAATAAATCAAACGACAAAAGCCAATTCGCTATCACAGTAAAGGCGAACTTCGTAGAAGATTTTCCTTTCTCTAAGAGTAGGCGCACACCGTTGATTTTTAGTTGGCCGATAGTTGTGCCCGATTTTAAATTGTATGAAGAATCGGCCAAATCGAATCGGCGTAGTGTGCGCACTCCCATACATGCCCATACTGATCAACTGCCCGACTAAACTATCGGCCGACGAAAAATCAACGGTGTGCGCCTACTCTTATGCGCAATAATTTTCCAGTGGGGCCAGTACGCTCACCCGATATTCTCCAGAGCTGGTGACTTCCCGACCGAACTAAAGAAGAATGTAGCGCTTAAAAGCGCTGAGCAGGGCTACCACAAGTCTCGTTTGCCTGAACTGAGTGCCGCTGAAGTCGCCCTCATTCGAGGAACCTCGGATTTCTTCGGCCTGAATACCTATACGTCCAAACTGACCTATCGCGATGCGTCGCTGGAGGGAATGTATGCAGTACCATCGTACAATGATGATATGGGTGCCGTGATGATCAAGGATCCATCGTGGCCGCAAGCGCAATCGTCGTGGTTGCAAGTGAGTGTAACCTGTGTTTCGATTTTTTTTACCAAATTGTCAGACAGGCTAGTAGAGCCAAGTGAGGCTAAACCTAACTAAGCAAGAGTAGTTAATGCTAATACCACCTGTACAATCTGGGTAACTTACCAAAGGCTAATATTACCATGCATAACACGGAAACATTGTTTTTGAGGTTGAGGCTCACCTATTGCCCGGTGAAGCTGAGAAAGCCGCTCACGGCTATCAGCACAGTCCGTCCAAAAAAAAACGGAAATATTGGATATCTATGCTGCAATCACACCTGAAAATGACCCTTTTGTACCCTTTGCACCACCGGCCTGCACCACTGGTGGTGCAAAGGGTATTTTTAAATCCCTTTTGCACCACCAACAAATAGTGCTGTGCTACCATCGACTGTAAAACTAGTAGTAGACTGTAAAATACTTAATAATTTAATTGTTATAATTACATCAAAACCTACCTAAAAGTTTTAATTTGTGTGTGTGTGTAAGTGCCTATAAACATTTCACTTCAGACCCACGATACCCCGGGCCTACATCCTACATACAACGAATAAAGTACCAGGGCAACATAACCATAAAGGAGCTATTTTATGATACATGTTTATTTCTCGGGTCAACCAAGAAGAATTTGATATAGCTCCTTTATGATTATGTTGACCTGGTACTTTAGGAATTATTCGTTGTATGTAGCTATGAATGGTTGTTATTAATTTTTATGTTAAGTTGTCAAATCTGTCCAGTAGTTTCGGAGCCTTTTCAGTACAAACAAACAATCAAATCTTTCCTCTTTATAATATTAATATTATATGATTATAGATAATCGTTTTACAGTTAATGGTAGGGCGGCACTATTGGTGGTGCAAAAGGGATTTAAAAATACCCTTTGCACCACCAGTGGTGCAGGCCGGTGGTGCAAAGGGTACAAAAGGCATTCACCAGAAATTTTTAATATATTGCATTAAATTCACCTTTTAAGCTTTATTGTTTCTGTGCAATAAAAACTAACTTAGATAAGTGAGGTGGCTTGCATCCAGTTCACCCTGAACCAGTAACTAAACGCCTGCGAAACAGTCAACAGCAATGAATTAAAACCGTGGTAGCCGATGGATGAATGTGACTGCAAAAATAATTGTCAATTAAGATCTTAATCTCCTGCTTCAAACTCCTTTTTCAGGAAGTGCCTTGGGGCTTCTTCAAGCTGCTCGTAGAGATCAAGAATCTCTACGACAACCCGCCAGTGCTGGTGACCGAAAACGGTTGGTCCACAGCTGGAGGACTCCTCGATGATGACAGGATCGGCTATTATAGAAACTACCTGAATGCTTTACTGGATGCTGTAGATGAAGGTTGCGACGTGAAGGCTTACACTGCTTGGTCGCTGATGGACAACTTTGAGTGGAAGAATGGATACACGTAAGTACTTAGCGTTACCTACTTAGGAATATTCTATCTTCTTTTAGTAGGTACTCGTAGATATCTGGCGGTTGCAATTGCAACCAACTGCGTCAATCTGTCATTTTAATTTCCACCTCCATACTTATTAATTTAATTAATCTTTAATTCTATACAAATTATTGGTATATTAAGGCGAATTTAATGCCGTAAAACATTGTCTGTCAGTCAACCTTCGGTCTATGTGGTAGAGTTCCGAGAAAAACTACTCTCAAAAGTTATGTGGCTGCTAGCTACAATGTATTAATAGCATACCAGCTTTTTTAAAGGAATCCTCATTTTCTTACAGAGAAAAGTTCGGCCTCTACGAAGTGGACTTCAACAGCCCAGATCACACCAGAACTCCGCGCAAGTCCGCATACATCTACCGGGAGGTCATCAGATCCAGGCAGCTGGACATCAACTACGAACCTGAGGACTTCACTGCAGAGTCCGCCAACAGCAGCGGAGAAACGGAGAAGAATAGTTCTAGCAATTATTATTATAAATAATTTGTTAAAGAAATAAATGTATTATAATAAGTACGAGTACGAGGTTTAGTTATTTAATTAGGCAGTTCCTCGTGATTAATCAACGGCAAGGCAGGGATTCTCTACTTCTTTTGCTTAAAACGAAACATTTTCATCGTCATCATCATTATTTCAGGCACAGGACCTCCTCTGCTGAATATAGGCCCGGTTCCAGGCTTCGGTTGTACCGGTAACGCCTTGCATTTTTGGCGTCAAACCTTAGACCAGGCAAACGGCTAGGCAACGTAGTCGTGCAGGAGGATACAAGGAAGAGGGGCAGCCACAGTAGGTAACACAGAGTCGTCCAGGTGAGTGCCAGGAAGAGGTGCAGCAACCGCAGTTAAGGAACGGCTGGGACGAACAAGGATCGGCGAATCCAGCTCGTATGCCTTGATAGGGTTACACTGGTTGAGGCGCTCCTTTTCAAGACTTGGAAGCCTGCGTTTAACGAGCCATTGGACGTGGAGAGGGTCATTAATTCCTGATGGTTGAAGGGCATTAAATTAAATTTAATGCCCTTCAACCATCAGGAAGACCACTTTTCGATAGGGTAAGTCCTTTACGCGGTATAACTGGAAAACCGAAAAAGCGCCCCTTTCGAGGGCCCCCACCACTTAAGCACAACTCCGTCGAAGTCGAAAACTTAGGAGAGTCTTAATGGGCAACCAATGAAGCCATTAAAGCAATAAAATCTTTTGTAGGAATTATTTCCGATTTAAAAGCTAATTCTACTGGACTATAATGAGCGATTCCTTTGCTGACAACACATTTAAAAATCAATCCGTTTTACGTCACACACAGCTGTCACAAACGTCAAAATTGTTTTGTTTATGTGTCACCGACTGTTCGTGTCTTACATTGTGCTAATTTTCGTGAAAAATGTGTGATATAAACGATAATCCGTTGAAATTGACTGTTAAGTGGAATGGGAAGGAGTACGATATACCGGAGTTTTCACCGTCCGATTCCGTGGCGATGCTAAAAATCGCCATCGAAAATGCGACTGGTGTTCGACCCGAAAGACAAAAATTGCTCAATGTTAAGTTTCAGGGTAAGAAAGTTCTATTTTTCGTAGCAAATACAACACTAATAATAATTATGCTATAGTAATATTCAAGCTGTATTTTAATAGTACTAAACCATAGTTAACCTATTTTCCTTATAACTACCATCACAAGAAGAACTCTTTATGTAACCGCGAAGACGGCCGATTTCGGCACTTTCTTAGCATTATTCTAATTAATTCCTACAATTAGTAATTCAAGGCCTCGGTTTATACCGTTGAACTTAGTTTCTACTCATTCACTGAGGTTAAAACAGTTCACTACTATTTTAAAACTACAAACAAGTACTTTTGACTTAAAACCAATTATTTAGAAATGAATGGACCACTTATGCAAATCATAAATATAGTAATTGGGTACATCTGTATCCAATCATACTCCAAAACTTTCACCAAGTTAATGATTAACACTTATTGCATCATGATTTTAAGTGAACTTCTTTACTTTGTATTCAAACAAAAACATGAGTTAAACATGCATTACTATAATAAGTGTAAGGCACATAAAATACATTTACAGATTATGACTATGTCATCTAGCTTTTATTTAGACAGCTTTTAAACATGTGTTCAAATAACTGCCGTTTGCATACAAAAATAAATACATTTTATATCAATGCTTTGTAAAAAAAAAAATATCTTTGTAACATTTAAAATTAGTCATGTAAGTATTTGAATAAATAATCTTATATTAAAAGTAATGTGACATTCTTTAATTAAATGAAATGGCCACAAAACCCACACAAAAAATAGGTATTTATGAATAAATGATCTATTTAATTTCTCCTTATCAAATAGGTAAAGTGGCTACAGATAATTTCACGTTATCAGAGTTGAATCTCAAACCGAACCTCAAAATTATGATGATGGGTTCGTTAGAAGAAGCGATACAAGGAGCCAGAACGAAACCGGATGTAGGGGACGAGGTGGTTAACGATTTGGACATTGAAGAGGAAGAAGTAGACGTGGAAAATCAAGAAGTAAGTATATTTTTACTTTTGCTTTGTATTATTATATGTAATATTACACTGTTATCGTAATAAACTGTAACGTCAACACAAGTTTTGATCAAAACTATACAGATTTTGACTGACTTAATTTGCAAGATATATAATTCTGTGCATCAGAAAACACATTAGAGTACGTCACAAAAATTGTATCCTCTATTGATTTAACTAATTATGCTAGAAGATGAACATTATCATCATTAAGATCACGGAATATAGGAGCTCGGTAAGCTTCAGAGTATATTTTAGAAAGCTTTCGGAACCGCGTATACCGAGACAAATCAGAAAACGGCTTAATCTATTTCTGTTCACTGTGGCATAAAGCCCTCAACAAAGTACCTACATTGAGTCACATATTCTGCTTTTCTGAATTATGTAGAGCCTTGTTATCATCATCATCATCAACAGCCCTTTACAGTCCACTGCTGGACTATGAGCCTCCTCCACTACAGTGAAGGGTTTTGCCATAATCCCCACACTTGGCAGGCGGGTTGGAGATCGCAGTTTAAAAGATTGATGTTTTTCAGAGAGAGCCTTGTACTTGTTTGTTATTTTTGTGATTTATAAATTCTAGCTGTTACAAATTCACTGTTGACCTAGACATAGGTTTAGACGTTTAGATAAATAAACATTATTCTTATCATTGGTAAAGGTCAGTCATATGACTCATAATCACTTAATGCTGCTCCAATGTTTTATTTAATATCCATAAATGAATAATTTGTGTGTCTATTTCTGTTTGGACAGTGAATACACAATAACAGACTTGATTTTAACAAGATCATGTGTAACAAATTACAAACAATAATATTTTGGAGTTCTGCTAATCTCAATACGTAGTTATGTATTATAATTAGTATTTAGTTATGGTAAAACATAATATTGTGCTTTATTTCCAGATATATTTAGCGAAAATAAATAAAAGGGTGAGAGATTATAAAATTAACGTACTCAATGAACCTCGGCCAGGAAAGAAACTGTTGGTGCTAGACATAGATTATACGTTATTTGACCATAGGTCAGTAGCGGAAACTGGTAAGTTACCTCTTTGTTATATTTCCTAATTATTCAGTAGTCATCATAAAACGATATTGGACAGTAATGTTAAGGATTTCACTTGTAACTTCCCTAGACAAATTACAAAACGTGACAGTTAATCACTTCACGGTGCGAAATAACGACCAAAACCGCGAAATCGCTCTAACACCAGCTACCTTTTGAACTTTCCACATATTCAATAAAAATTACTCCTGTTTTATTCTACAATTTATACCAATCAATGTAGCACTTTAAGTACTTGATACTGGCAAAGATAAATTAGTAAGAACCAATGTATAGATCGTTTCATCCACGAAGACGCGCCCCACCATTTTTCAGCTAATGTTTGAGTTTTATTGGTACACGCTAAATTATTCATGAGTGCACACGCACACTACAATAATGACGCTCGGATTGCTCGGATCAAACTCCCCGCACCCCGCGCTTCCCTCGACCAAAAATTGGTGGGGCGCGTCTTCGTGGATGAAACGATCTATGTATAAGAGGTATTTAGTAATCAAAAAATACCAAAAAAAATTTTACATTGTCTAATAAATTCTACATAAATGTTTTCAGGTTACGAATTAATGCGGCCGTTCCTCCACGAATTCCTGACGTCTGCATATGAGGACTATGACATAGTGATATGGTCAGCCACAGGGATGAAGTGGATCGAAGAGAAGATGAGGTTACTCGGTGTGTCTACACACCAGGACTACAAAATTATGTTCTATTTGGATTATTTGGCCATGATCACTGTACATTCGGCGAAGTATGGAACTATTGATGTGAGTATGATCAGTTTATACCAAGTAACTAATTATAGGCTTATAGGACGAAGCATGCTTATCCGTATCAACTCGAGGAGGTCAGTATATCCATAGGGGGCGACAATTTTGGCTATTTTTCAATCCCCCCTATTGTGTCCTTTTATCGAGCCAGTTTATCAAATTAACACGATAAACCCATACATTTGTCGTCTAAAATCGACGATAAGATTATATCGTGGCGCACATCCTAGACCGGCTGGTGCCCATAGTATAAACTTACTTATTTTGCCACTAGATGGCGCTAAATTCCAAAGTTATTTACATTTTCATTTCGCTGTTACAGGTCAAACCACTAGGCGTGATTTGGGGCAAATACCCTCAGTACAGTTCGAAAAACACTATAATGTTCGACGACATCAGGCGTAACTTCATCATGAACCCAAAAAGCGGTCTCAAGATTAGACCCTTCAGGCAAGCCCATCTCAACAGGGAAAGGGACCGAGAGTTACTGCATTTGTCCACGTATTTGAGGGATATAGCGCAGTACTGCGAGGATTTTGATACTTTAAATCACAAGAAATGGGAGAAATACAAGCCCGATAAGAATGCTATGCAACAGGTGAGTTATTTATTTTATTTTATTTTGTTTTATTCAGAAAACAAACAGCTTACAAATATATAAATTGCATAGATACAGTGTATCTTATCCTATCTTTTATTTTATTTGTTGTGTATGTTACGGCTAAAGATAGGTATGAACATAAACTTAAGATTAGCCGGCTACACTTAAGTTTATCTTCGAGAAGCAGCTAAAGTACGATAACATGTTAGTTTGTGTCGTGATATTCCATCTTTAGCCGGCTAATGTGCACATTAGCCAAAACGAAACGGCTAAAAATGTATTCGATGGGCGCGCCAGGCTGGCGGAGGGCTTGAGGGGGCGGTGGGGAGACAACGAATAGCTCCATATTATTTAACAATTGTGACTAGATATTGTTTTAAGTAATTAAAACTGAAGAAGTTTTATTTTGTAATTTTAAATACCTACCTACAGAAGATTCTGTAATGACCAAATGGTTCCTTATTATTTTATTTTAATGATAGGTACCTAGATATTGTTTTCAATAATTAATATTTTGTTATTGTAATAATTGTAATTTTGAATACCTACATAGATAGGTACATAAAAGTATGTGTAATGAAAGTGATTATTAATTAATAAAGTTTTCGTGTCCAAATAGTAAATATTATTACATTGTTTCCTTTTCCATTTCCTTCTACATTTTTAGCCAAGGGCCTGCGGTTACACTTAAGTTTAGCCGGCTAAAGATAGAAGAAACTAACATTAACACCTCGTCGAAGATAAACTCAAGTTTAGCCGGCTAATCTTAAGTTTATGTTCGAGTAATTTAACTGAGAAAGTTTTTTTTGTGTGCTTAGTGCGAGTTTGCATTTATCGTTGTCGCTAACGAGTGCATCAAAAAGAGCTATAAAGTTTAAGATTTTAGTTCTTGAAAGTATCTGCTAGGGACGCTGTACAATCATCATACATTTAATGCATGTCATTTTTTACGCAGGCGCTAGAGGATGACGATCGATATAAAGTCGCACTAAGCCCACTGATTACGAATAGATCCAGAAAAATACGTGTAGTGAGAGCGGTTAGTACTAGGGTCTCATTGTTTTTTTTTACAGAAGTAACTAGTCTAATTATTGTAGGTACCTTTCTACATAATCTAGCAAAATCGATTTTGAAAAAAAAAACTTGTTTTATAATTTTCTTAATTTCGTCATTTATTCTGCATTTTAGTATTCACACATGCAGTCGGAAGCATTTTTAGTTTTATTTGTTTAGACGGTATGGAATAAAATGTCATTATCATCATAGAAAATATAATTTTTTAGGGTCCCGTAGTCCTGACAAGGAACCCTTATAGTTTCGATATGTCTGTCTGTCCGAGGTTTTGCTTGGAAACTATTGGCACTAGAGAGCTGTAATTTTGTGGAGGTATGTATATTAATCACGCCGACAAAACGGTAGAATAAAATTTTGATAAAACATTTTTTTAGGATAGCTCCCCTACATGTAAAGTGGGGATGAATTTTTTTTCATTTTCTACACCATCGTGTAGGATATCGTTGGATGACTTGGGGGTTTCAAAGACTATTTTTAGATTTAGGGATCCGTTTGCAAACTAATAAAGTCTAAAGTGCCAATTTTTGTTCGAGCAGGGCGTCCTCTAAAAACTAGAATGCTGGCTTGAAAAATCTGGAAAAGATTATAATAATACTACTTTTTATGAACTTTCAAGAAAACTATAACGGTTAGGGTAGGTCAGTTAGTTTAAGAGTAATAGTCATTTAACTCATGTACCTATTATAAAATTTCATATCTAATAAAAATTCCTTAGATGAAAATATTAAAAGCGACTTTAGATGAAGTAATTGCTTGCTTCTAACATTATATTTTGTTAACGACGGACTACTACGGAACCCTACACTGCGCGTGGCACGACACGCACTTGGCCATTTTTTTTACTTAAGATTTAAACCCAGTTTTCTGGCAAACTCTATATCTCTATTTCTTGCGGAAAAAATTACGTGATATTTCCTGAGACCCCCCCTCTCCCCCACGTGAGATTTAGTGAGGTTTTTGTTGACCCCCTCCCCCCCCTAAAAATCTCACGTAATTTATGGACGCCCCCTAATGAGTCAATATAACACTCTAATAGGTACTCTAATGTGATAAAAAGTAACTCTAAAATTATTACAAAATATTATTATTTAAGAATCATAGATACGTAGTAACATTAATCAGGTGCTGATTAACCTTTAACCGACGTGATTTTTTGTCACGTCGTCTGCGATGTGCGGTCTGTGGGACCGCTATACTGTTTACTCAAAAAATTGACATTTTTTGTTTAAAAGTATATTGGTTTTATATTTTTTGAGAACATTATAGTATAACAAATAAACGTACTTATCATTTGTGAGGAATTAATGTATAGTATTTATTTAAATATGGCCAAAACTTTTTTGACCCTCAATTTTATTGAAATTACACTAGAGCTCAATATTTAAGATGAAGATTTTTTAAACAGTGTTAAATAAAACTGATTATTATTTACATATATTTTTTTTATTTTATTAACAGGTTTTACTTTCGGTATGCAATACCGAGGTGGAACCTTTTAGATCTGTGTCATCCTTCACGTTTAGTGAAATACCGGGGTGGTTGAAACTTGATTTGATCCATCCGCCCCGTTAAACGATATACCGGGGTGGTTGACACTTGATGTGTTCCATCCACCCCGTTGAACGCTAAGACTATGACTACCGGGGTCGTTGAAACACTTTTTCCCATCCACCCCGTTGACGGGGCAGATCCACCGGGGCCGTTGGGACTAACCCAAAACGAGCACTATTCTCTTCAGTCGTATAATATTTTTGTGACATGTAAGGCGACTGATTTAAATACCACGTATTTTGTAGAATTCATCAGAAATCGGGTTGCATTTCATTCTGCTGGTTGAATAAATGTCAAACATTTGTTTTTTGTGTGACTGTGTCTGTGAGTTTGAGCAAGATTGTCTTCAATGGATTCCAACACATCCAAAATAGATTCTTTCGAAAGTCGAAATCTTGTGCGACATATTCTTCGAATAATGAAGCCGTGCTTTTAAATATTTTGGGTCGTCGTACTATACAGTGTGTTTGGGATACATAAAAATTGTTTGTATTTCCTATGTGCCCGTCTTACAGATAAATCAAAATTTGCATTTGTAAACCAATAATAATTATGTGTCATTAAAAATGAAAAATTATGACCAAAAAACTTTAAAAAAATTATTAATTTTAGTTTTTGTCAAAAAATTCAGTTTTGACGGGCACATAAGAAATAAATAACATTTTTGTGTAGTCACATAAAAATAAATTTCAAAAATTAAGCCCTTCCCCCATTCCAAGAGGAGGGGGGTAGGCCTACATATTATGGGAACATTTTTGTCGATAAAATTTACATAATAACATCGCCTTAAATTATATTATCGCTAGCCCTATCCCAAACACACTGTATAGACCAAATTGTCTAAAACTTCCAAAGGATCCTCGTTTTCGAAAGTAAAATTGTACGCCATTGCGATCCTGTTCCTGTGTGACAGTAAACTAACAGCCTGTTACCCATCTAACGGACCTAATGAGCAGCAATTAAGTTTAACAACGGATTACGGATATTAAACATTCGTTAAAACATGGTGGGACATTCAATAACCTTAACAGTCTGTTAAATGATTTAACAGGGGTGTTAATTAGTTAACATTGTATGGTGAAACTGGGTCTAAAGATAGAAGAAACTAACATTAACACCTCGTCGAAGATAAACTCAAGTTTAGCCGGCTAATCTTAAGTTTATGTTCGCACCTATCTTTAGCCGTAACATGTATATTATCTTGATGATAGGGATCATTGACACTTAGTGACGTCAGACGCGGTATTTCCCTTAAGGACTGCGTACATTATAGGGACTGAAGTGACAGCATACATTGCAATTTCAACCGTGGCGTTAAATCTATGAGACATATTATTATTTGTCACCTAAAAATCTCTTGCAGTATCGTCCTGATAATGTGCACAGTCCCATACTCGACAAAGTAACATTTGTGGCAGATTTTGCTATCACTCCACGGAGCGAAGTATAGATCCTTTCATCCACGAAGACGCGCCCCACCATTCTTCCGCTAATGTTTGAATGTTATCGGTACACGCTAAATTATTCATGAGTGCACACGCACACTACATTAATGCCGCTCGGATTGCTCTCAATTGGATCAAACTCCCCGCACCCCGCGCGACCGAGACCTTGTTGGGGCGCGTCTTCATGGATGGAACGAACTATAGTTACGTGCAAAAAGCCAAGACGTGACAATAAATAAATAATAATAAATAAATATCTTTAGACATTTTACACTGCGCTTCTAGTCCCAAACTAAGTAAGGGGGCGTCCATAAATTACGTGAGGCTTTTAGGGGGGGGAGGGGGTCAACAAAAACCTCACCAAATCTCACGTGGGGGAGAGGGGGGGTCTCGGGAAATATCACGTATTTTTTTCCACAAGAAATAGAGAAATAGTTTGCCAGAAAACTGGGTTAAATCTTAAGTAAAAAAATTGGCCAAGTGCGTGTCGTGCCACGCGCAGTGTAGGGTTCCTTAGTTGTCCGTCGTTATCACAATATATTTCAGAAGTAAGCAATTACTTCATCTAAAGTCACTTTTAATATTTTCTTCTAAGGAATTTTTATTAGGTATGAAATTTTATAATACATGAGTAAAACGACTATTACTCTTGAACTAAGTGATCTATCTTAACCGCTATAGTTTTCCTTGAAAGTTCATAAAAAGCACTATAATCTTGAATTTTTCCAGATTTATCAAGCCAACAGTTTAGTTTTTAGCGGGGGGGAACGCCCTACTCGGACAAAAATTGGCACTTTAAACTTTAACATTTTGCAAACGGATCCCTAAATCGAAAAATGGTCTTAGAAACCCCTAAGCCATTTTAAAAGACCTACCCACACGATGGGGTAGAAGACGCAAAAAATATCAACCCCACTTTACATGTAGGGGAGCTACCCTAAAAAAATTTTTTTTTCAAAATTTTATTCTACCGTTTTGTCGTCGTGATTAATATACATACCTCTACAAAATTACAGCTCCCTAGTGCCAATAGTTTCCAAGCAAAACCTCGGACAGACAGACAGCCAGACATATCGAAACTATATTAAGGGTTCCTTGTCAGGACTAAAAAATGATATTTGTATGATGATAATGTCATTTTATTCTATACAGTCTAAACAAATACAACTAAAAAAGCTTCTGTCTGCATGTGTGAATACTAAAATGCAGAATAAATGACGAAATTAAGAAAATTATAAAACAAGTTCTTTTTTTATCAAAATCGATTTTGCTAGATTATTAGTGATTTTGTAGAAAGGAACAATTAGACTAGGTACTTCTGTAAAAAAACAATGTGACCCTAGTACTAACCACAGTCACTACACGTGAATTTCTGGATCTATTCGTAATCAGTGAGCTTAGTGCGACTTTACACAATCGTCATCCGCTAGCGACTGCGTAAAAAATGACATACATTAAATGTATGATGATTGTACAGCGTCCCTAGCAGATACTTTCAAGAACTAAAATCTTAAACTTTATAGATCTTTTTGATGCACTCGTTAGCAACAACGTTAAAGCACACAAAAAAATGTTAAATATTACTCCAAAACTATTAAATTTCGGATTTTTTTTAATATCACGTGAGATTTGGGGGTGGGGGAGGGGGTCAGGTAAAATCTCACCAAATCTCACCAAGGGGGGCGGGGGGGTTGAAAAATAGCCAAAATTGTCTCACGTAATTTATGGACGCCCCCTAAAGCTTGTACTATGGGTAACGGATATAAACATACTTAAATACTTTTTTTTTTTGTAAATACATACTTATTATACATTGAAAACACCCAGTCCAATACAAACAAATATGTTCATGCACACAAATGTACTGTGCGGGAATCGAAGCCGCTACCTCCGGAATACTAGTCCGTTTCGTCTTTCGAACCACTACACCAAACGGCCGACAAATACAATCGCAACTTCGAAATCGTTTCGTTCCGGCGTTTTTATTGTATTAAGTTCACGTAGGTACTCGATTTTTCTTTATTTTTTCGATACATACCTACATGCGTGCGCCCGCGCGAGTTTTAGCGTAGGCCCTTAAAAAGTAAAATATAACATTACATACCTTATTCATCCATTCTCATCCACAGGCCGGCAGCAAGCGGAAAGCGGAAGACAGCTCGCCGTCCACACCGAAGCAATGACGGTAGGCGCCCGCGAGGCACCGCCTTGGCTCACAAGACTGCTAATACAAGACTTACGTGTTACAGAACGACGCTCAAAACATGACTCAATATCAGCATAGATTGAGCTTTTGATTACTCAATAAAAACTCATTTATTTATGCAAGTAGGCTTTTAAAAAGCACTTTTACACGTCCCAGTATTATCCCTACCACGGCTTCAGGACAATAAATGGTTGACGTTGAAATTTATTGTTTAGACTAGATTAGGATTTAGGATGCTTGCCGTGATAAAATCTTATGGACGTTTTTAGACGACAAATGTATGGGCTTATCGCAAAATCGATAAAATACCTCGATAAATGTTTATCGTGGCCTGGCAAGGGTCGGCAACCAGAGATAGGGTTCAAAAGCGACGTGTAAAAGTACTTTTAAAAAATCTAATGTGTTTATCGTATTTTATGTTGACCTTAATGGACAGTGGCGCCAACTCATTGTAAAAAAATATTAACTCTTAGAGTAGGCGCACACCGTTGATTTTTAGTTGGCCGATAGTTGTGCCCGATTTTAATTTGTATGAAGAATCGGCCAAATCGAATCGGCGTAGTGTGCGCACTCCCATACATGCCCATACTGATCAACTGCCCGACTAAACTATCGGCCGACGAAAAATCAACGGTGTGCGCCTACTCTTATGACTTACTTTAAATTGCGGCTCTCCAGTTTGAATGGGAAATAAAGTATGTATTTAAATAATCCTCTGAGTTGGCGCCACGGTATAAACGGTCTCTTTAAAAACAGAAAATTGTTACCTTTGGCTTTTCCACCTCAAAAGGTTACCTTGATAAAGTCTAAATCTATGAGTAAATTTCAAACCAATCACAGAACAAATGCTATGACTAAGATTGAATCAAGTTTTGAGGGTAGTTCTGTAATACCACAACTAGTGCGATTCACATCTACCCGCGTATTCCGTGCGGCGTGTGATGTAATGGACACTTATCACAATATGTAATACGTATTTGTAATTACCCTGTGTTTTTCACTCACTTATGTTAGAATAATATGACTTATAAGTATTCATTCACCTTTTATTTTTATATTCTGCAGCAAAAGAATTGTGTCTTTATTTAGCAAAGACTTACGCACGTATTCACAAACATTACTATGAGGTCACACAGTGCGCGTGGACGCACAAGGTGACACATGAACCAATTACAGAGATCTATTCAACGCTGTGCGTTCGATTTGCTGCTTCACGTAAGCAAGCATCGTTTGTGAATACGGGCGTTAGTAAGTCAGCAGTTGAAAATAAAAATATTGTCACAACGCGGGCTGGTTACCTAGTATACATATTTATAAACAAATAAAACAGTTTTTCTTTTATTTCTTTCAAAACCTCCTTTGCCAGGTAGGCACTGTATAATGCCTTGCATTGCATGACTACAACCCGATCGAGCGGTCTATTCCACTTTGATCACCTGGCTTTGATGACCCAGGTGATCAAAGTCCACTTCCAGCGACAATTTAGTGTCCTTTGATCACCCACGTGTACTATGCCCTGGGTGATCAAAGTGAACTCCAGTCAAATTATAATTTTAGTGTCCTTTGATCACCTACATACAAATCACACCTCCTCTGAATAGTCACATGTCCAATTGTTATACTTACATATTTTGTTTTATAACATTTTTGATATTTTCTAAAAACCGCAACAAACAAATTGGACATTATATGTGACTATTCAGAGTTATAATTTATTTATAGGTGATCAAAGGACACTTAAATAGTAATTTAACTGGAGTCCACTTTGATCACCCAGAGCATAGTATCCGTGGGTGATCAAAGGACACTAAATTGTCGCTGAAAGTGGACTTTGATCACCTGGGTCATCAAAGCCAGGTGATCAAAGTGGAATAGACCGATCGAGCTAACTGCTGCGCACCTCGCTAGAATGCGATTCTTCCCACTCACCCGCACATCTTCGTTCCAGTGTCGTTGTGACGTCACAGCCGCCATGTGCGCAGTTACACTAAATAAATGTTTGGTTACTGCTTACACAACAAGTGTGTAAATTAAACAAATAATTCTGCAGTGAGCTAGACTTAGTTTGGTTATAGTTAACACTTAGTTCGGTGGTCACTTTTGTTGTGTAAGCAGCGAACATTTTTTTCAGTGCTCGACCGTTTTGTACAGCCAATAGACTAGATGTGAACGACTTTCTTCCGATATGATATTAGTGATTGTGTATAACGCAGTGAAGTAAGCAATATTGTAACTTTCTCTAAAATAATACACTGTACAATCGCTAGGACATCTAACGATACCTTTTTACTGTAAAATAGCACTTAATACAACTGTTTAAGATGCAACAGTTATAACTTAAATATTGTCGTCAACTCATCAGAAAAACTTCTCAAGTCTCTCAAAATTGACGCTTGATAACATTATCAACCTTATTGCTAAGGAATAAAGTCAACAATCCTTTTGTGTATCTTTTGATAATAATTGATATTGAAATCTGGCAATAAATTATTACTTTTTCCTTTTGTATTCATAATAATTAGTATTGATTAACATCTTTGACCAACTGATATGATGTTATGATTATTTTTATGTATTTGATATACATAACATATAGTGTTCACCCCCAATATCTATGTACATTTAAATGCTACTAATAATAATGTGAAAGTGTGTCTATCTGATGAATAAATGTCCACGTTAAATACGTCTTGTAGGTCGCGGGTTCGATGCCCGTACATTATAACATTTTGTGTGAATACGTTTGTCTGTACCCGTAGTTTTTTCCTTAGTTTGACACTAGATGGCGCAGTAAAATATGTTTTGGTTCTGTACTGTACTATGGTATTCTATGCATTTGTAATAGTTGTGTTCAAAATAAAGAACGGTAAACTATTTTACTCATCATTATATCATACTCATAATATGATAAAATGGCTCGGCATTTATGTAAAATTAGCCTTAATTATGTAAAATTTCGTATCCGAAAAACGCAAGAACAAAGTTCGATCAAAATTGAGCTTTATCAATATTACATTAAAATATAGTTCTCCACAGTCTGCTGCTGTTGCCATCCTTCTCATAGGACTCAATTCAAGGCCATGCTTCAATAGGACTCAATTCATAACAATTTAGCATGTTGCGTTGCTAATAATTTAGAGCGGTTAAAAAACGATCCTCCCTTCGCAAAAGCGAAAAAGCTATAGGTAACAGACGATAGCACATCAACATATGCATTTTTGTTGCAAAATCACCTCTATTAGAAGTAAATAAGAGCCCACAGTGTTTAGCTTGACGTGCCGTCGTCTAAAGAGTTTTACTTATTTGAGTAAAATTTTACAACACGGAGGAAATATCCGAAAATTCAGAGGAATTTTTAAAGTGGAGTTAAAAAGATTCATTTGAACTAATTGATATTTCTTCTAAAATAAAATGATAAGCGGCTCCAATATTATATTTTATCACATTGTGAGTAATACAATATTGATAACTTGTCATAAACTAATGTTAAGGCCAAGTGCTACTTGTATTTATTAAAGAAACGAAGTTGGTTTTAATTATTTAAGTAAGTATTTTATTATTATGTCTGTCTGGTACAACAAACTTTCGCAGGATTTGTAGAAAATGTGATTGGAAATTGGAATTATGTTAAACTACATAATAGCTTAGATTTGTAACCAAGTTTCCCTAACTGAAATAGAATAAATCCTTCCGAGTAGTGTTTGTTTAGTTAGGTGAACATAATAAATAATTTTATTATTTTAGAATAATAATAAAAAGTTAATATATAAAATAAAGTTTTTTATTTCATATCCTTAGCACGTGCAATAGTTTCGCAGATTTTTCCAAAAACCATATCAAAAGGCGACTTTTTCATTCGGCATGCGAAACCCTTGGTCGGTTTTTGTGATCGTAAGAAAATTATGACATGACTGTTATTATTGATTAATCTAAGACTGTCCCCATAAAAATGGCTCCAAATACATATAATTGTGCCATTAATCCACCTAGGTTATGCGACTTCTACTCAACTCAACTGGGGAAAAAAGTAATACAAATAAATAGGTCCGATGGGACATCCTTGCATAAGTAGCTCATCTACTGGACATGTCTGAGAAAAACGTACAAGTAAAAGATAATTAATTAATTTTAAGACATTCTTTTCAACTCATTATTTTATAGGAAAACCTAAAATAAAATTACTTAATACAAATCAATATTAAAATTTGTTTTCGATTACATACATTGTTCGTCTGCCTGCGCTTAAACGAAACGAACGAAAAAAGGGCGTTTTTTGGCACTTCGCCATGTATGGTCAAACCGAAATAAACTTTAAAGCACACAAAATATGATTCCAAACTCAACCACTACAGATTACTTAGAGATGTACAAAGTACTTTTTTATCATAAATATTTACATCATTCACCGATTATTACTCTGTTGTCTTATCTATCAATAATTTTGATCCATAAATTCAACGATTAAGATCATTTGAAGTGAGTAATTGATAATTTTAATTGCGCTCGAGTCGAAAATTATCTGCAAATCCTACCTTGTGTGACATTTGGGCAGGGCCAGATTTAGGGGAGGGCAACTGGGCAACCGGGGCTACAGCCCTAGGGCATCCACAAAAGAGGGGCCCCCACAAAAACTTATAAAAAAACAAAACAAATTACTACTTTTCCTTTGTCATTTTTTTCGCACTTTGAAATTAAATTATTTAATGAATAGGTAGGTACTTGATTGAAAGTGCCATCCACAAAGACGCGCCCCACCATTCTTCCGAATGTTGCTAGGTACAGTCGCAGAGTGAAAAGGTTCGTCACCTTAGTGTCGGTTTTCGCTTGCACTATACCTTGATTTTTTAGAACCCAGCAGAGATGTAAACAAACACTTTCATACACAATCACACCATAATCACTTACGTGTTCATAATATCATACACATTATTTAACAAGCCCATGAAACCAACTTTATTTTCACGTTTAAACAAGTTTGAAATCAATCTTTGAAACAAATATTTTAGCAAAATACGTGGAAGATGAAAATTTGTGAGACTTGTCAAATTGACTTGACGTTTAAAATCATGTGTTATCTCCATATTGTCTATGACTTGTCTCTGCCACATCAGTGCTGTAACCTGTGAGTCATAGACAATAATCTGTAAATTTAATCGATATTATTTTAAGTATTCACTTATTCCGATTACTGATTAATTTTAAATAAAAAATTTACGATACTTTGTTTAGTTTTCCAGCGATAACTTCGACAATATTGGAGATAACGTAAAATTATTTTTCGACTTGTAGTGTATACTTTTTCGGAGTCAGTTTAATTTTTAGTCGGTTTTATTTAAACGAAATTATTTAACTTTTTTATGCAATTATGCTTACGTATTGTTCCATTGCTTATTTTCCTACATAATTAAATAAAATAAAAGAATTTTGCAACTATTTGAAGTTTAATAACTTTACGGATATCATTGATTGTTTTACTGTCCAGTGTGTTTTTTGATTACATCTGTGCATACAGTTTGTTTCCTGTTCTCGAAACTTTCATAATCAGTTACATTCAATGTTGCGACTTTGTCGCATATTTTTAGTATTTTGACGATCACCCGGCGATGATACGCAAGTACTACAATAATTTCACTTCGCGATTAACGAGAGGTTTTGTCGCATCACTAGTTCACAGACTAAAAATATTTTTATGTCAGTTGGCCATTTTTGATGACATTTCTGCTGATTTCTAAAAAATTAGACTGTAGGTATAGATGACCCACGCTGAACTGTCCCGCCAAACTCAATGACAGGGGGGCGCTACCATCGTTCAACTTTATGGTTTCCAACATGGCAAAAATCGGAACCAGCGATTCGGTATTGACGGTGGCGCCCCGCTGTCAATGTCATCGATAGGACAGTTCAGTATTTTGGAACTATACTGTAAGAGTCAAACCTGCCAACATAACAGTGCAAGAAACAGTGCTGCTAACATTTAAATAAATATGACGTTTGCTAACAAATAAGGTTTTGCTTGTTTATTTTTCTATCCCATCAGTGCAATGCAATGATGACATTGACCAATTGACAATAGTTTTTTTTATTTAATAGAAATAATAATGGCAGGTTGAACCAACAAGAAGGTTTTAGTTTATCAATCATAATAATCTTCTTGACAAGATAAATCGTCAAACAACTTTGATCCGAATAATTTTGAACTTTACTGACGAACAGTTAAAGATTATTTTCTCTAACTCGAGATTATTCTGTAACATAGTTTCAAAAGGTAATATGTGCTCGCGATTCGTTGAAGGAATCAATTTGAAAACTGACGAACCTTTTCATTCCGTGACTGTACATAATAGTGATCTGTTCACTAATGTTTGAATGTTATCGGTACATGCTTATTAAATTTTCCATGAGCATATTAGGTACATAAATGACCCTCCGCACCCTCTATCCGCACTATCTATTTTCTATTTAGTTGGAAAATAATTTGGGCCTAGGGGGCCCACTCTTTTGTTGGTTGCCCCGAGGCCTCCAGACCTCTAAATCTGGTCCTGCATTTTTGGGCATGAATCATCTTACCCGCATACATACATAGTACCTACCTACCTACCGGTTTTGTTGTTGAAATTATTGAGAGAGCTTGTCAGAAAGGTTATTACTTAGTTGTGTTGTGGACGACTGTCTGTGGTATTTTTAGTTACACGCGCCATCCGGTATCAGTGTTAAAATTAGTCATCATTAAAGTAAAGTAACTCAGTTCAGTTCATTATTACTTACAACGAAAATAACTACTACGCAACAACAGTGTTGGAGATTATAATAACTTAAAATTATTTTGTGAAAGTTTTATAGTAAGCTTGGCGAAGCGGATTTATACAGAAAAATAATACCAACTTGAGTAACTCATCAAAATTATGAAAGTTTAACACAAGGAGTACTTGGAAAGTTTTTACAGTTTATTAAAATTTGACCTCTACAAGATGAGTCTCCCTATAACAAACCAACCCACTTCCACTGGACCAGCTGAGGTGATTGCTACAGCACCAGAAAAACATGATTTAGAAGAATCCATTCCGCAAGATCCAGCTGTTAGTGAGGAAGAACAGAAGAAGAGACGGAGTCAAGCCGATGATCATTGTGACTGTTGTTATTCAGGGTACTATGACAGTACTAACGATGGAATATTTTATTACTTATTATGTCGTTGGATGTTAGATTGTTGTAATGGTTGTTGTCATTGGTGGTGCACTGATAATAGTAACGGGGCGGACAACAGTGGTGATTGCTGCGACTGTGGAGGGGACGAATGTGACTGTACGGGCTGTTGTGANCTTTTCATTCCGTGACTGTACATAATAGTGATCTGTTCACTAATGTTTGAATGTTATCGGTACATGCTTATTAAATTTTCCATGAGCATATTAGGTACATAAATGACCCTCCGCACCCTCTATCCGCACTATCTATTTTCTATTTAGTTGGAAAATAATTTGGGCCTAGGGGGCCCACTCTTTTGTTGGTTGCCCCGAGGCCTCCAGACCTCTAAATCTGGTCCTGCATTTTTGGGCATGAATCATCTTACCCGCATACATACATAGTACCTACCTACCTACCGGTTTTGTTGTTGAAATTATTGAGAGAGCTTGTCAGAAAGGTTATTACTTAGTTGTGTTGTGGACGACTGTCTGTGGTATTTTTAGTTACACGCGCCATCCGGTATCAGTGTTAAAATTAGTCATCATTAAAGTAAAGTAACTCAGTTCAGTTCATTATTACTTACAACGAAAATAACTACTACGCAACAACAGTGTTGGAGATTATAATAACTTAAAATTATTTTGTGAAAGTTTTATAGTAAGCTTGGCGAAGCGGATTTATACAGAAAAATAATACCAACTTGAGTAACTCATCAAAATTATGAAAGTTTAACACAAGGAGTACTTGGAAAGTTTTTACAGTTTATTAAAATTTGACCTCTACAAGATGAGTCTCCCTATAACAAACCAACCCACTTCCACTGGACCAGCTGAGGTGATTGCTACAGCACCAGAAAAACATGATTTAGAAGAATCCATTCCGCAAGATCCAGCTGTTAGTGAGGAAGAACAGAAGAAGAGACGGAGTCAAGCCGATGATCATTGTGACTGTTGTTATTCAGGGTACTATGACAGTACTAACGATGGAATATTTTATTACTTATTATGTCGTTGGATGTTAGATTGTTGTAATGGTTGTTGTCATTGGTGGTGCACTGATAATAGTAACGGGGCGGACAACAGTGGTGATTGCTGCGACTGTGGAGGGGACGAATGTGACTGTACGGGCTGTTGTGATTGTGGGGATGATGGCTGTGACTGCGACTGTGGGGACTGTGACTGCGGAGATTGTGATTGTAGCTGCTTCAATTAATTGTAAAATATTTATTACTGAAAGACCCACACTTGTTTGCCGGATGGCCACTGCTCCAATAATTAGATGACACAAGACTGAAATATTTTGAATTCCAGAAATTATTAATACTCAGGTAAGAGTAGACTTAAAAGTATTTACCACAAAGAAATATTTTATATTATTAATTATTTGGTAAACAAGTATTATTTTTAATACTAACTTTTACAAAGTATGTAATAGGGTAAAGATAAACACTCATTCTGAAACCGTATAAAAATTAATATAAAAAAAATATAATACTCATTGGTCTTATAAATCTTGCAATTTATAATAAAAAAAATGAGTCATTTTTAATTATTAATAGCTATTAATTAATTCTGTACTCAAGTACAGTTTGAGAATTCATTAATAGCTATGTTGGTTGACTATTTAGATCTTTTAAACTAAGTCCTGCTGGTCCTGCATGATTTAATAAAATAAATAGTATTTTAATTGCTTTTTAAATGAGTAGGCATTTTATGATTAAATGCACTTCATTATTTTTAAATTTTATTATTATGTATTTATGCATGTACTTTTAGAGAGTATGGAGAAATTTCGTAAACGAAGCTCAAATTAAAATAATCGATGTTGCTCTCTTCTATTCAGCACGTGTGCATTTGGTGCATTTGATTAATTTGATTGAATCTGAATAATTCACTATTCCTTTGTTTTATTTACTTTAGAAATGTCAAACTGACATTAATGACAGGAGGTCGGCTGGTAAACTTTTGGCCAGTTTATTTTTGTGAGAATTTTTAACGCTCAATAATTACAGACACTTGGCTAAGTACCTACTGTACTGAATGTTATCACTCACAAGTGAAAAGTTTAAGTTGTTGTCAGATTCGTAGTACCACCTACTTATAAGTACATAGCTGGACAACTCATTGCATCAACAAGTGGCATGGCATCTCAACAAACTTAAGTTAAGCCGAAATTCGTTTTTTAACATTGCAGCAGCATAGGCTTGCAAACATGCATTTAATAACCCTATAAATCTGTCCTAAACAGAAACAATTTGACCATAAAGTGGCAATTTAGAGTTAAAATGACTCAAGTGATAACTACTCAACCAACTTCAAACAAAACAGTGAAACTCTACTCAGTTGTAGAAGATAATAGAAATGATGAGCAGGATCATGATGTGATGCAACCACTCGAAACAGGCACTGATAAAGATATGAGATACGTTGAAGATGATAGGAACAGTATAAATTCTGAGACGTCACAAGAAATAGATTGCTGCTTCCACATTTCAGACGATAGTCCGTTGGCAGCATTTTGTTTGTGCCGACTCCTTTCTAATTGTCTCGTACACTGCGGACAGTGCACAGAGGCTTGTTGTGAAAATATGTGTTTATGCATATTCGATAATCGCACTCCTGGATGTGAGTGTTCAAATCCTTGCTATGGGCCTGGTCACTGTTTTTGCCGTAACCCTGGCCGATATTTCTGTCGTGAAGCAGATTGTGGGTAGTGCCTTTATGCTCGATCACAATTTTAAATATTAATGGTCAAATAGTAGTCTTTTTGCTACAATAGAATAAGTAAATTTGTAATCATGCTCAAAAACATGTATTATAAATTGATTATGCTCACAACTTTGAAGTTATTAATTCAGAATTATTGATTTGTCCAAAGGACGGTATAAATATTTCAATAATATTTGTAAAAGGCAAATAATTCACTTATTTGTTGGCTAAGTTTAAGTGATGACCTATTGTTGTTGAGATCTTTTAAGCATAATAAAGTTTGTACAAATGTTTTTGCAATTTATTGTTACATACTATTTTTTTTTAGTAGTAATTTTTATAATATTTTACTTTTTTAGCATGTTTTCATAACTTTACTGTAAGACTTTTAAAATATTATATTAGATGCTTCCATGTATAATCAATTAACACTTTATTGTAATGGATTAGAAGACACTGTTATAATAATGCATTTATATTTTTGAAGATGCTATTTATATTTTGTATTAAAATTTCTATTTAGTATGTGTATTACATAACATTTTTAAAATTATGTTAAGCTCAAATCTTAATATGACAATATTTTGTAGAACTTTTAATGGTCCATTTTGTGGTCTTTTAAAAAAAATAAAAAAAAACACATTAAATGTGCGAGACTCGACATTACGAATCTATGTTTAAGAATTTTATTTTATACTTTTCTTTATTATTTACATGTTGCTGTTGATTTACAACAAATTATTTACTGCATTAATAAATTGTTATATCATAGTAATGTTAGTTTTATTTAAATTCTTTAAAATAATAAGAGGGACTATTCCATGATGTCGCGGCTGCACGCACACGAGGCGTGTTCGCTGCGTGGAAACCTTTGTAACAGGGATGTTATGGTCTGGATATCCGTAACTATCGGATATCCGAAATAAAAAATATCCGTGACCGAAACCGATTCAAAAGTTTCGGATAACGGCGGAGTCTAAATCTTAATATTTGTTACTTGTCTGGCATTTCCTGGCCTGGCACCATCTAATATCCCCGCCTGTTTTACCTTTATTATAGGTGTCGTCATAGTACATAAAAGTGGCTATGTGTCGCGCAGCTACCTTGCTACTTATTTGAATTTTGCATTTTTAAGTTCTAATATCCGTAACCGAAACTTTCGGATAATCCGAAATGATTTCATATCCGTAACCGAAACCAGTATAATATTATTGTAATATCCGTAACCGTATCCATAACATCCCTGTAATCCGCCAGTGTGGCAGGGAAGGGCCCTTACTCTACCGATACTCAGGGACATTATTATCATTTTAGTACTTATCTGGAAGTAGGATGCAGATTATTAATACTTAATAGGCATAAGTATACGCACTCTTGATGGCAGCTTTAACTTACTGATGCCAGTTGGGAGTCACAGGAACCACAGCAGGAACTAACTTACAGTGACGTCATCGCTCACCAGGAGCGCAAGTACGGTAGCTGACTCGCACCTCGATCTATAAAGCATGAAGTCCGCCTTTCGTGTGAAAGTTTAAGTTAGATAACTTACTGCTTATGTATCTATATGTACAAAACAAAAAGGATTCCTTGTACTGCTTAAAATTTATAGCAATCCAACAACTTTCTTATGGTGCGTCCAGACTAGACGCACGAGCTCGCGCGGCACGCTGGTTATCTTGCTCACCCTGCTCTTGAGTGAGCAGGATGTTGAGTTTGCCGCGCGAGCCCGTGCACCCAGTCTGGACGCACCTTTACAGAAACAATGTTATACCGTTCTATTCATGAATAAATAAATTAAAAAATATATTTTTTTATACGTACGTTAAGCATAGTATAATAATGAGTACTTAAGTATGACGTAAGTAAGCAGAGTAGCATAAGTTACTTATTTTATGTTCGATAGCAACTTAGCAAGTTCGTTTCGTCCAAATTAATGACGTCCACTGCTGGACAAAGGCCTACTCCAAAGGATTTACATAACTACCGGTTCGGCGCTGCTCGCATCCAGGTTCTACCAGCGACATTCACCAAATCGTCGGTCCACCTAGTGGGTGACTTGCTCATGCTACGTCTTCCGGCCAGTGGTCGCCACTCGAGAACTTTCCTGCCCCAACGGCCATCAGCTCGCGAGCTATGTGCCCCGTCCACTGCCACTTTATTTTAGCAATTCTGCGGCTATGTCGGTCACTTTGGTTTTCCTACCAATCTCATTTCTGGTTCGATCACTTACACTGAACTTAGCAAGTATCTAAAAAATACACAGTTTTAACTAAATTGAAAATCCCTTGGTTAATTACGTGTGGTTTTGGGAAATTAGGATGTTATCTATGCTGCGGTAATGAAACCATGACCTCAGATTAGATGTAACTCGCCAATGATTGGCGAGAACAATATCATAAACTGATTAAAATATTTCACTAGTAAGTCCTAAGCTCTGGCAGAATTAGGTTGGTTGTGATCATAAAAAACTTACAGAGAAAATTTTAACTTATTAATCTTTAGAAAAGTGGTGAAAGTTTCGTGCTGATAGAATGTAGGTACCTAATTAATGTAGGATAGGATCTAGGTACTTAGATCTTACTCATCGGAAAGAATTCCTAAATTGAAAACAAACTCCTAAAATAAAACAAAACAAAGTACATACCTTACCTACCTAGTAGAAAACTATTGGAGTGTAACCAAAATGGAGAATAACAAAATGAAAAATAACCAAATGGAGAATCACCAATTGGCATTGAAAGTCCTAAACGTTGTAGCAGTTCAACCGAGATCCAGATCTAAAGAAGCTGATGATGACAAAAAATCGGTCGAAGAACAAAACAAAGAACAATTGGAGTTGAACCAAATGGAGAACATCCCATTGGCGTTGAGAGACGCAAATGTTGTAGCAGTTCAACCGAAACCCAGACCTGTAGAAGTTGATGATGACAAAAAATCGGTCGAAGAACAAAACAAAGAACTATTGGAGTTGAACCAAATGGAGAACATCCCATTGGCATTGAGAGACGCAAATGTTGTAGCAGTTCAACCGAGACCCAGACCTGAAGAAGCTGATGATGACAACGAATCGATCGAAAACGAAACTCATCCATCAGAGAATAACTTTGAAGCCACGGATGCAGACGAAAATGCGACGAATTCGAGACTGACAATCGCACAAAGGATTCTGGAGGAAACCTCCAAGATTTTTGCAAGCATAGCGCAAATTTGGGTGAGCTGCAGTGAACAGTGTCCGGAAGATGGATGCTGGCATAAATGCTGCATAGATGGCGAGTGTTGCAGTGATGACAGTTGCTGGAATTCGGGAGAATGTTGTGAGTGCGGTGATGAATGCTGCGAGTGTGGTGATGAATGCTGCGAGTGTGGTGATGCATGTTGTGGCGATGGGTGTTGCGACGGTGTTTTCGACTGTTGTTGTGATTGTGATGAATAAACAATTTAGATTATTTTACTAATTATCTGTAAAGGACCATTTCAGAGTAAGTGCTTACACACAAGACCTACAGCTTACAGATTAACTTACCACCTATTAAGCCAGTAGAATTAAACACAAAATTGAATTAAAACGGAAACAATTCCCACAAAAGATTTTATTGCTTTAATGGCTTCATTGGTTGCCCATAAAGACTCTCCTAGGTTTTCGACTTCGACGGAGTTGTGCTTAAGTGGTGGGGGCCCCGAAAAGGGCGTTTTTTCGGTTTTCCGGTTATACCGCGTAAAGGACTTACTTACCCTATCGAAAAGTTATCTTCATGACGGTTGTAGGGTACTTAATCCTGCATTGAATAAGACCAAATTCATATGTTTTGGACACACCGTTCACGTGCTTATCTTAGACAAAGTAGAAAATGTACGTATAATTAATAACCCTCTCAACGTCCAATAGCTCGTCACCCGCAGGCTCCCATGCCTTGTGCTTACACGTGTAAAATAATGAATAGGTACATATTAATTTACTTTTAACTTAGAATATGTAGGTACTTAGGTCTATTCAGCATTACAAATAATATTTATTTATTTATAATTATGTTTGTACGCTCACGGGTCAAAGTGGCCCGGTCCTTTATAAGGCTTGCGTGGGGATACAGATCCAAAGTCAAAGTCAAAGTCAAAATTTCTTTATTTGTTTAGACTAATAAATAGTTGTTACAAATCGTCATATGCTCTTAAGGAGCCTCTATATGTCTCATAATCTTTTTACCCTACCAGCGCTTCGAGACCAACATTTGGCAAGTGCTGAGAAGAAGCGCCGCAACAAACTCTGTCACCACTGTCTGCCGGTTAATATAAATAAATAAATCCAACACGTAGAGGCCGTTTTAAGCGCAAAATAATCGACAAAAGTGAAAGTGGTGCATTTATATTATTATGGTTTTAAAAAGACCTCCCCAACCCTTCTGGCCAGCGCGCGGGGCTTTGGGGAATGTAGGCCAAATCCTACACTTGCCTCGTAAATTGGAGGGTTGTGCTCCTGCGATGGAGACTAATGAAATGACTGATGATGATCAAAAAGAAAGCAGAATACTTTTTGGTAATATTTTAATATTATCACACCGATCACAATACACATAAAATGACTAGAAATAGTAAGACAACAATAAAATT